GCCTCCAGCCTGGGGAACAGAGTTGAGGAAGACCCTGTTCAAAAAAAAACAAAAAACAAGGAAGAAAAATAATATAGAATAGTTCTCCAAAACTGAAGGGCACATGTGTCCACAGGAAAGTGCGCTGAGGGCCCGAGGTGGTGACTAGACAGGCCCACATCTGAGCATCTCATGACACACCTGGAGTCAGGAGGTGGTCCGGATCTTCCAGAAAGAACGAAGATGAATCCGGCCAGAGGCCAGCTGCCGCAGTCTTCATGCTTCTAAAGACCGCACGACCTCGGCTCGGAGGACGCCGCCAGCAAGGTGCCGCCAGGCCCCACATGGAGTCCAGTCTAAGGTGCGTGGCTGTGCGAGTGCGGTGGGTGCGTGGCACCGCAGGGGAGGGCACGGCCAAGAGAGCCAGGGCTGCGCTCCGGCGGTCCGTCCAGGAGCAGAGATGGTGCACCACAGATGGGGCCGGCGGAGTGGCCCTGGGGAGTCTCCAGAGGACTCGAATGAACTGAAAGAATGACTGGACAGCTTGACAGCAAATTTGGGACTATTTCCGATGAGAAGTAGAATATACAAAAAGACAACCATAACTCAAAGGACGTTCAAAAAGTTGTGCGAGGGCGGGGCGCCGTGGCTCACGCCTGACATCCAGCACTCTGGAGGCCGAGGCGGGCGGATGTCAGGTCAGGAGTTTGAACCAGCCTGAGCGGCGAGACCCGTCCCACTAAAATAGAACAATTGACCAACTAACAATTGTAGAAAAAATTAGCCGGGCTGGTGGCGCATGCTGTAGTCCAGCACTCTGGAGGCTGCAGGAGGTTTGCCTGAGCCCAGGAGCTAGGTTGCTGTGACCAGGCTGACCCACGGCATCATCTAGCCTGGACAACAGAGTAGACTCTTCTCAAAAAAAAAAACCACCAAAAAACAACAAAACAACCAAAGTGTGCGAAAAAGGGAGAAGTCTTGAGCACGTTGCAAGCTCTGAGCTCTGAGCTCGCCCCAAAGAGCGTTTACACGTCAGCAACCGATCACGCTGCGTTTGTTATGGCATTTGGGAGGAAGGCTGGGCGGGCGCGAGCCGGGCTGTGGGGTGTGTGAGAGCCGGCCTCATCTCTGGCGTGCTGCCCAAAGTCGTATCTTCGCCAGAAAACTCGAGAAGCCTGGAGGTTCGAAGGCCAAGCCGAAAGGGCCCTGGAGCCCAAAGGGCCCCTGGTTGGTGGGAGCTGCGGGGCGGCGGGGGGCGGGGAGGGCACTCTCCCCACCGGCTGGCAGAGCCGCTTCCCTGTTGAACCGTGAGCGCCGACACCGTTGTTAAAAATAACTGAAATCAGGGGAGCAAGGGGCAATTCATAGCCTTAATTGGTACGCTCCTATATGCTGGGGAAAAAATTAAAAACAAAAAAAAATGATCATAGGGGCTGGGGGGGGGGGTCGCCAGCCTTGTGGGCAGCACCAGGACTGCCTGGGAGGGCCCGGCTCCCGCGCTGGCACCTGTGGGGTGGGGCCCGACAGCGGGGCAGAGGGAAGGGCTGGGGTGCATCATGGGGTGCCGTGGGCCGCTCTGCCCGCCAGGCTGGCCTCAGCTTCCTGCCTGGGACACGGGGACTCCTGGCACCTGCCTCCTGCAGGAAGCGGGCTGAACGTGGCGGCCGCTCAGCTCTCCCGAGGCGCTGGGATCCGTTGCCATTTCGGGCTCAGTGTCGGCCCCCGTGGGGCAGGGGAGGCAGGGGGGCTGAGTGGCGCAGGGTGGCAGAGGCTGTGTCACCCCTGGACGCACAGCACCTCGGTCATCGGGCAGCGACTGTCACCTCGAGCCCGCCAGCAGTTCTGGAGCTCCTCGCCTGGCTCCGGGAAACAGAAGACTTGTTTTTCTGCTCACTTGGCCCCTGGCTGGAGCCATGGTGGCCATGCTCCCAGCTGTGTGTGGCAGTGCTCCCAGCTGTGTGTGGCAGTGGCTGTGTTGCCTCCCAGCTCTGTGGTGGCCGCTCAGCAGATAGGGTCTGCACCCTGCATGCCCAGCTCTGCACACGGTGGGCTCTCAGCAGATAGGGTCTGCACCCTGCATCCCCAGATCTGCACACAGTGGGCGCTCAGCAGATAGGGTCTGCACCCTGCATCCCCAGCTCTGCACACGGTGGGCTCTCAGCAGATAGGGTCTGCACCCTGCATGCCCAGCTCTGCACACAGTGGGCTCTCAGCAGATAGGGTCTGCACCCTGCATCCCCAGCTCTGCACACAGTGGGCCAGACCCTATCTGCTGAGAGCCCCACTGTGTGCAGAGCCTCTGGCGGAGCAGGCGCGCAGATCCTCAATCTGCTGAGAGCCCACTGTGTGCAGAGCTGGGGATACAGGGCGTGCAGACCGCTACTCTGCTGGAGAGCACACTGTGTGCAGGGTTGGGGATGCAGGGTGGCCAGACCATATCTGCTGAGATCCCACCTGTGTGCAGAGCTTGGGATGCAGGGTGCAGACCCTCATCTGCTGAGTGCCCACTGTGTGGCAGAGTTGGGATGGCAGGGTGCAGACCTCTATCTACTGAGTGCCGCACTGTGTGCAGAGTTTGGGGATCAGGGTGCAGACCCTATCTTCTGAGCGCCCACTGTGTGCCAGATTCTGGGCGATGGCAGGGCAGACCCTATCTGTGAAGCA